AATTTTTGTAAAGGACGAAAGATCCTTTTATCGTCTTTTCCATTCGACGAGTTGGCCCCACCCAGACGGAAGCCACGTAGAAATGAGTCACCGAATTGAGAGTTGAAAATAAAGTATCCCCCGAGGAAGAGAACAAAATTTTGGGGTAAAAATAGAAATATTCAATGTTAAACAGTAGCTGCTTGCGTAGGAGTTTTCCGGCTAGGTCAGGCCTTGTATCGCTAGGGTAACATGATCTTGACCCTGAAAATGTCATAATGTTCTGCTGCTACCTTCTGTACCCGTACGATAATATTAACCCCTTTACTTTTCATTTATTTCGTGACTGCTCGTCCAAGCATTCTTTCATTGTTAATAATTCCTTAATAAAAAAGGAATTGACTATTTACTGTAAATATATGTTTGCCATAAGCGTTTAAGAAATATAAATGTAAATATAAACTGCTGCGAAATTTATTTCGTGTAACTACGTTTTATTTAAAATATTTATTCAACATTTTTCTATAATATATGAAACATAGATAATATTTTTAATTAATTTAAATTATTTATTTTAAATGAATCTGTTAACGGTAGTGTATACTACATGCAAAAATAATTATTTTTTGTAATGGTTTCATTATTTTTATTAATTTATTGTTGAACACAGACTAGTACGATATAATACACGGTAAATTAATGTAAATATTGTTACTATGACTTGAAAGAATTATTTCCCTTTATTGTAAGAGGACTTTATTTACTTTATCACGAAAATTGAGTATTTTGAAAAATTCTTGAGACAATCCGAAATTTGGTATTAACATTAAAATTTGATTATTTTTTATGAACGACCTGTGTATAAAAATGAATGCAATTTCTTTTGAAATGAATAAATTACACACGACCCCTTGAGAATGTACAAAGTATAATTATTTAAGAATATTTTATTGTTTCTCTGTCAATATAGGTTTTCCGTCTGAACGTTAAGCGATTCGAGTAAATGATGCAGACGAACGGTTCTGAAAACATCGGTTCTGAAAATGTAAACGAGAAGACGGGATGGACGGTAATTTGTAATTACTTAAAATCGTATTTCGGTTAGCTCCATGTCTTACGAAGTTGCCAGTTGCTTTATTTTAGATTTATTGGAAATAATAATTTTGATTTATTTTAAGTAATACGTAAGTAGGTATGTGGCATAACGTTAAGCGAGACACGTGGTATAGATTTTTTTTCCCATTGCAATATTTAAATGCCCGTTACTTCGAAAAGAAAGTTAAATAGAATGAACAATTCTTAATCACGTATTTTTATGCTTGAAGTTCAAGGAAGTGACCTTGGTAGCCCTTTTGCTTTTCGAATCGAGGCGTTAAAAAATCGATTGGGGCAGAGTTTTACCCCGCGCAGTACGAAACATTTGTAGGAAGACTCGATGAATGACAATTCATCTACAGAGTATAACAATTACATCTTTTTTTATGTATGCAATTAGTTTGCATTAAATTTGCACCAGTTTCACGTAACTATTATTGACGAATGCTTATGTATTACTTTGTCTTTATATATGTATATATAAATTACATGAAATGAACATGAAATACGATTTTATAAATATTAATTAGATGTATAAATAATGAATAAACATATATTTTTAGGTTGGACTAATAAACGGGAAATTTAAGTATCTTACAGCAGAAACTTTTGGTTTTAAAATAAATGCAAATGGGTCCAGTTTGAAAAAGAAGCAATTATGGACTTTGGAAGGAAGCGAACAACAGGTTTACCTTAGGTCTCATTTGGATCGTTACTTAGCAGTGGATCAATTTGGAAATGTTACCTGCGAAGCAGAAGACCCCAGTGATCCTGGCTGTGCCTTCCAAATTCAATTGGCTTCTGACGGTATTTGCGAAATTTTCTTTTTGCTATGGAAGTTGTTCGATACGCAGTGGAACACTTTGCGGTATAACTTTATAGATGAAATTGTTGAAAAGATTTACAACTTAACTTTTTTTTATATATCGCATTCTTGTAACTAAGAATTATAATAAAATCTACTTTTTTTATGTATGTATGTACATATAAAAAATAGGAAGTGGAAGATGGGCATTGAAAAATATTCAGAGAGGATATTTCCTGGGTTCGAGCCAAGATGAACTTAAATGCATGGCCAAGGCTCCACGTGAGGCAGAATACTGGCTTGTTCACCTTGCTGCGAGACCTCAAGTAAGTAATATTTTTTGTATAAAAAAATAAGAGACTTAAAACAGTACATCTTCAGTTGAAAATAGTTATTATATTAATAGCTTTTATTATCACTGAAAGTAGGAAATTGAATATCAGAGAAAAATATATTTTCTAATGAAGAATTAATTTGACAAAAAGAAGCAATGCAAAATGAAAAATCCATTTTTCAGGTCAATTTGAAATCTGCTGGAAGGAAACGTTTTGCTCATTTAAGTGCAACGCAAGATGAGATTCATGTGGATGCACCAGTTCCTTGGGGTGAAGACACACTTTTCACGTTAGAATTTCGTCCTGCTTCTATGGAAGATTCTAGCCAAGAAAATACTAAATCTGAAGGTGGACATTATGCCCTTCATACTTGCAATAATAAATATTTAGCACGGGATGGAAAACTTTTGGACTCTTGTACGCGCGATTGCTTGTACGCAGCCGAATTTCATGCTGGATTACTTGCACTCAGGTTGTATATATTAACATTTTCCATTACCATACTGTATTACCGTTAAATTATAATGTATTAAACTCATGTTCATTAATACTTTTTCCTTCTATTTTGATGAATATTATGTATTCTTGAGATATTTAACTCCAACACCCTGTGTACAACAGTGTTTTGAATTTAGAAAGCTTTGCATATAAAAAAATGTTCATAGCATATTTAATTCTTGAATCAATGAACCTGTTTCTGTTTCTTCTCTTTATACAATAAATGACAAGTTACAAATGATCATGATTTAATTAAGACGCTTTAGAATACAATACAGTAGAATGATTAAAAACGTAATTATGTAAAGGGATTTGTATGGAGCATATTTGGCACCTATTGGAAGTAAAGCTGTTTTGAAGTCAAGATCCACGACAGTAACTCGAGACGAGCTATTTTCCTTAGAAGAATCTCTGCCACAAGCTTCCTTTGTCGCCGCTTTAAATCAACGATATGTTTCCGTGAAACAAGGTATTTTTATTCGTATAGTTTTCAGTTTGTTTAGATTTATGAATAATATAATCGATAATTCTTTCATAACTTGTAGCGGTCCAGAAACAAATGGTAGCATTATTTATTATTGTTACAGGAGTTGACGTTACTGCTAACCAAGATGAAATATCCGGGCATGAAACTTTCCAATTAGAATTTGACCGTGTTACTAAGAGGTGGTACGTGCGCACTATGCAGGATCGTTATTGGAGCCTTGAAGCTGGGGGAGGAATTCAAGCATCCGAGCACAAACGGTCCTCTAATGCTTTGTTTGATTTGATTTGGCAATCCGAGGATGGTACAGTAGCATTACGTGCTAACAATGGCAAATTCCTGGCAACCAAACGCTCTGGTCATCTTTATGCTAATGCTGATTCAGTTAACGGATTGGATTCAGACGCTAGCAAATATTATTTCTACTTGATGAACAGACCTGTTTTGGTTCTGCGATGCGAACAAGGATTCGTAGGGCCTAAAAGTGCATCTAGTTCGAAACTGGAGTGTAATAAAGCTATATATGAAACCATTAGAGTGGAAAGATGCGAGCGGGGAATTGTCAGATTCAAAGGTAAATCTTGCAGCACGCTTTTTATATAAAAATGAAATAATTTTATTCAGTTTCTGGCAAAAAATACACATATTATTTTTATATCATGTACGAACCACGCATGTGATTTTAAATAATTTTAAATAATTTTACATAACAGGTCAAAATGGCAAATACTGGCATGCAGATAGTGAAGGAGTTAACGTGGATTCTGACATGTCCTCTGATGGTTTTTATTTAGAATTGAGAGAACCGTCACGCATTTGCATTAAACATACTGATGGAAGATATCTCGCAGCAGGTAAAAATGGAGCATTGCGTTTGGGAGAAACAGATTACGAGTCTGCTACCAAATGGGAATTCTAATCAAACGAATATGTAAAAGCTATGTTCTTTTCAAACTCTTGAAATTGTTTTTTCTTCGCACTATTTAAGGAAACAATTTGCATCAGTGACTATTTGAATCTAACAAGTCGAAGGTCATTTCAAAAAGAATAAGCAGACAATTTAAATGATTCGGTAAATTGATAACTAACAAATTAAATTTTATTATTCTTTTATGTAAACGTGAAACAATGGAAAAGATTAATTTAATAACAATTTAAGATAATAAGGACTAAATTTGAAAGGAACATAGCTAAAATAACTGCCCTTTTTATAGCTTCGAATGTAATCTAATATCATATTTATAAGTACAGAAAGGGCTCCTACTGAGTACTTAATTAGAAGTACAATACTGTCCGCTTAAGCGTCCAAATTTCTGCCTGTAATAATAATATCTGTTGCTATATTAATTAATTTTTGAATTTTTGAGAATGAGTTTCAGAATATTTCAGTCTTAATACCAAAGGGAGGTTATTGTCAAAACTTCTTGGCTCTAATTTGCACTTTTTCATATCGAGTATCCGATGTTTTATTTTCACTCGACTTTTAGGTCACTCGAATCGTGGGAACACTTATCTGCCTAAACAAGCATCGTAACATGGTTCTGAACTTTAAACGTTTAAGCAGGCAGTATTGCACATTAACGAACTGACTTTTCTACGATTTTTTACTTTTACTTCTAATGACTTTTCTACTCAAGAAATATCACATAAGACTGATCATTCGCATGTTTGCAAAGGAAGTAACGGTTATCATATCGTTCCTTAATTTAAGGAAAAATAATCAATATTAACTTTTTATTCTGCAATGATAACAATAATTGAATTATTTTTTAAACATGTA